AATAATATATTTATTGTTTATTGCTTTTTTTTATTTGGAAAATATATAAAAAGATGTTTGGTGATTATTTCTTGTTTGGAGTTATCTAAAGTTTTAAATTAAAAAATATATATGAAAATTAAAAATTTAAATCAAACATCCAAATTATTTATGTTATATTTATTTTTAATATTTGTTATACATTTATAAGTCAATAATAACAAAATAATACTTTTATTTATGTTTTGGAAAAAAAAAATATAAACAGAAACAATAATTTTGATTTTGTTAATTTTTAAAATTCTACGTAGTTTTAGATGAAAAACTAGAAATGAGATTAGTTAAACGCTTAGAGTCCATTTGGTAACGCTTTTGTTTCTTATTTTTGATAAAAAAATAGAAGTACATTACTCATAATACTCAAGGATTAAAGAACGATAAACAATATTTTTATTTATGTTTTGGAACAAATAAGAAACGATAACCAGAAACAAAATAACTTATTTTTATTGTTTCTAAGATTTCTATATAATTTTGATAATATTACTAAAAAAAATTATAAAAAAAAAACATAAATAGTTATTAAATAAGGATTATGTTTATCAAACTAAATATTTAAATATATATTTATCTAAAAGAAAAATAAAAAATTGCGTATGGACCCTTTGGAGATTCCCTGACACGTCATCAAATCTTTCCGTTCCACTTTAAGATTAAAAAAAATAATTAATTAAAAAAGGTCCCATCTTTTTCCATCACCATTCCCTCTTTTAATTTATCTTATTTATTGTTCTAAAATGACAATATTAAATAAATTCAAATTTATTTATTTTCTTGGTTGGTATGGAAACACGAATCAAAATCTCTCTCTCACTAACTTTTTTTTTTCTCTCTCTCTCCAAAATTTGAATCATCTCATTAGCTTCTCTTTTGGGCACATTGCCAACAATTTGCTCTTTTTCAGGAACAATGTTCAAATTCCTTTGACTTACCAAAATAATAATAATAATAATAAATAAATAAATAAATAGAGAGAGAAACAGTGTGTAAACACAAGATTTTGATAATATTTTTGCACATTACTTTTTTTATAAAAAAAAAATTGTTGACAAATTTAGGCAAAATTACCAATTGGGTCCTACCAAAATCATTACTTTGCCCCAAAAACACACACCAAATTTTCCAAAAGTTAGAGAGAGAAAGAGGGGAGAGATGAGATTTTGGAGAGTTGAAGAAGTTTGACCAAAGTGGGACTTTTTTTTTCTTTGTTTTGTTTTGGGTTTATAGGATTCAATGAATATTAAAAATGTCATTTTAAGGAAAATGGCATCATTCAAACTTGGGGGAAAGAAGTTGTGTTGAATTGGACTTGTGGAGTCCAAACAAAAAAGATTGAATTTTTCAAATGGGTTTTCTCAGACCTATTTTTGCAAATAGCCATTTATAGGTTGTTTTTCAAAAGAACATTCATTTTTTTTCAAATAATTGCAAATCACTCCCTCGTACTCTTTTCTCTTCTCTTACAAATCATATATTGATAGAATTATTCACACGTGTATCAATTCAAATAAAAATGAATTACTGGATCATAGTCAATCTGAGTATAACTCAACTGTTTTAAATATTTATTTTTGATCCAAAGGTTCTAATTAAGTTTGACTTTCCACCTCCCCATGTATTAAAGAAAATAGACCCTGAAATGATTAAAATAGAATTGGGTGAGTTTTAGACTAAATCAGGTGTACCAATTTGATATAATGAGTATTTATTTTCTATATCTTTACTTATTTATTTATTTTTATTAACTTTTTTCCCAAAAAAAAAAGCATCGGCCCAAATTTGAGTCAACAAGTCAGACAAATCTCAAAGCTAAGCTATTTTCAAACAACATAAGAAAATAGCACCTTTTTTTAGTCATTCATTTCTTACTCTCCTCTTTCGGCTTCAAAAAAAAAAAATTATACTTTTTATTTCTTAAAATATTTGAAGTTGAAGTTTGAACTAATTTTACAAAGAAAAAAAAAGTAGAGAGAGAGATTGTGGATTTTGGAAGTGAATTATTGGGCCGACATTGGTGGGCTTTGTAAGCGGTACTTTTGTCTGTTTGGTTTGTCAGAAAATTTGTCTATTCCACTTTTTCTTCCTTTTTTTTTTTAGGGATTTAATTGGCAAATACTAAAACCCAACCACATTCTTTTCTCCTTCCCTCCTTACTTAGTTCAGAAGTTATGCTTCACAATTTTCTTTTTATTTTTTTTATTTTTCTTCCCGAACATAGCTTGGTAGATAGAATACATATTATATTTTTTAAGGTCGAATGTTTGATTCTCTATCCTTATATTTGTTGAATTAAAAAAAATTATGTTGCCATTGGTTTGATAAGTGAAGAACATGAATGAATTTGAATATGCATATTAACGTATTGATGTGGATATGTGTTGGAGCTGTGTAAATTTGATGAGACCGATATTAGTGGGATAATAATAGCAAAGATTAAAATGGTTGTTTTTTAAATGTTCAAAGGATTAATAATAGATATTATAAATTTCAATGACCAGACACATTTTTTTTTAAGATGAGGACTAATATAGACACCTGAAAGTTAAGTTCACGAACCAAACTAGGATTTAAAATCATATTTTAAAAGAATAATACAAGTCTAAATAAAGGAGTGGAGATTTGAAACTCCAATATCTAGGAAAGTTACAAAGTTTGCGATTAAGTCGACTATTTTTATATAGTATGTGTTCTCTAATTTTTCGTATTTTAATTATCTTAAGCTGTGTTTAGAGATTGGAGATGAAATTAACTGAACTCAGTTATTTCATCGACTTTGATAATAGAATTTTAATAGTAAAAATACAATAATTAATGGAATATTTACTTACCATCATACCCGGACAATGCATCATTGGGCCGTTTAAGCCCAATCAAAAATTTGGGCTTTCATCATTCGAAAACAATTGGGCTTTAAAGTTCCATTTAGGTTAGGCCCAATTTTGTGTTCCCTTCCTTCTGTAATTCGACAACATTGACTTGATTAAAAAAGTTAGGTTTTAGGAGCATTTCATTTTCTCTCATCTTCTTTACTTCACGTGCCTCCCACATCATCCCATCTAAGTAAATATACGTGTGTACAACCAAATTGAAGAATCAATAAAAAAATTGTATGGTAATGATCAAGTTAAAAAAAATTACACATGATAACTTTCGGTAAATATACACATATACAGTAAAATTACAGTATCAATAAATATATATACAATACTTGTATTTTTCTCAATCAACTTTGATGTGAACGGCAAAATGAGTTCCTTGTGTTTATGGTGAGATGTGGTGTGTACCAATGTCTCACTTCCATTCATAGTGTCAATGGGAGTATCTACAATTATGCTATCTATGGTAAACTACACTTGTGTTGCACTCTCATAGCTACTGTAACCTATGAAGTTGAGTATCCACCGACAATGCACTACTCTCTCTCCAACTCATTCGACAGCACAGTTAAAAATCATGTGACGTCCCTATCTTCTTCAGAATGGTTTTGCTAGTCTAATAATAAGAAATTTGATTCTTGACCAACGATATGAATGCAACTTTTTCCCATCTGTTAAATGAATGTTTTTCCTAATGTCTTCAATAAGGTGGGACAATAGAGTTCTTCCGGACTAACATCTGAGAGATGTTGAAATTGTTGTACACATTTTTTTCATCCCACGTACCACCATATAGAATTGTGATTAATACACAATCCATTGTTGCAAAGAGAGAAGAAGAAGCTTGGAAGAAAAAGAGTAGAACAATGGCATATGGGAGATCGTAGAATAATGGCAAATAGTTTAAATTAATTGAAAATCAAAACAAAATAATTAAAATAATGAACTTAAAATCTCTTATGTAGGAAACACAATTTAAATTAAAAACCATGTTTGTTAGGTGATTGAATATAATGAACTTAAAAAAAAACATGGAAAGGACAATGTTCACTATATTTTGTAAAATATCTTAAATATCCTTTAACTATTTTTGCAAAATTAAAAACAAATAGACATTTTTTTAAACGAGTCCACCCAAAATTCCCTTGTTTTTAAATATAAATTTATTGTTTTTTAGAATCATTAGGCACTTTTTTTTTTTAATAATATTTTGTCTTAAACTAATTCCAAATATATACCATCTACCAAACAATTTTCAATAATAATATTTAGAAAATAATAAACAACCTATGCTACTTCATGATTTAAAAAAAAATAAAATGAAAACACATGGCACTACCTAAGCGCCCTACAACTCATAAATCCTCAAGTGGGGTAGAGACAACATACAATTTTTCAAACATTATTCTTAAAATTAGTTTGGTGAAAGGATATATATTTAAAATTAGTTCAATAGAAAACATCATTAAAAAAAGCATTAGCCATATATTTTTTTAATAATGCTTTTTTACAAACTAATTCCAAAAATATATTTTCAATCAAATTATTTTAAAGAATAATGTTGAAAAATTACATGTAGACGACGTATGAATATGTTGAAAAGTTACCTATAGACGACCTATGAATATTCTTTAAGCATGACACTTTATTGGTGCCATGTCTGATTAAATTTTTTCAATTATAGTATACGACATATATTGTTTTAATTAATTTATTTTTTTGTGTGAGGGCGGGGTTCTCTTATTATATATACCCACTAAAAAAATCATATTATTTTGTCTATACATACACATACTAAAAATGCATATTTTTTTCTACCTACCCCATATATGGAAGATGATTACACTAGGTAAATGAAGTTTTATTATTGAAAATTAAATAATTAATAAAATATTTAATTGAAAAATAATTTTAAAAATAAATAGTAAAAAAATCCTAATAAAAAACCTGATCCGTGCAAAATTTGAAGTAGGGGTATATTACACATTACACTTATTTTATTAGACGTAATATTGAAAAAAAGTTATATGGATACATAAAATCTTACTAAATTTGTAGTCATAAAAATACTTTTAAAAACAGGCTGAAAATTTCTGGCTATGGATTAATTTGAAGTTTTTAACATTGGAGTGACCTCAGAACTCAGAGGAAGCTCACAAAAATGGCTTCTCTGTTGTCTTCTTCACAATGTTCCGTCTTCTTCACCGCAAACCCTAAACTGCCACTCCTTTCCCCTCTTCCATCGTTTCTCTCCTTCACTCCCTCGCACAAAGAATCTACACCCTTCAGATTCCCCTCCCTTCGCCTGAGCTCCTCCCTCTCCGACGACGCCTCTACCGGCACCGACGATGCCGCCGGTCCTCGCGCGAACATCTCCGATGAGTGGGGCGAAGAAGCCGAGCCGGATCCTGACTCTTCGTTCACCAGATTCTCGGAGTTCGATCCGCCGAAGGATGATGACGAGTGGGGCGGAGATGGCTATTCCGGCGAAGGTAACGGCAGAGCTTCCGCGGTTGAGGATAAGAGCGGGGAGTCGGTGGATGATAAACTTCTTGAGCTGAAGAGATGTTTGGTTGATACGGTTTACGGGACTGAGTTTGGATTTAGGGCTGGAGTGGAGGAAAGGGCTGAGGTTTTGGAGATTGTGAACCAGTTGGAGGCGGCGAATCCCACTCCGGCGCCGGTGGAGGCCCCTGAGCTTCTTGATGGCAACTGGATTTTACTGTAAGTTCGTTACGAAATTAAACTCGTTCTTCATTTATAAGTTAGTTTCTGGTTAGCACATTGCATGAACATTTAGAGAACAACCATAGAGAATATACGAAACGGAATTCCCCATTCCTTATGCTTTTAGCTTCACATAGATTGAAAGAGAGAGCTAGTTTCCGGATTAATGGAGTTTCTTAACATTATGACAATGTTCAATGTTGCTTCTAAATGCTACGTTTGATTTGTGATGAATTAGATACACTGCATTTTCCGAGCTGCTGCCACTTCTGGCATTAGGAACACTCCCATTGGTGAAAGTGGAGAAGATAACCCAAGAAATTGACTCAAATACGCTTACCATTGTGAACTCTACCACATTGTCCAGCCCGTTCACCACATTTTCTTTCAGTGCATCTGCTGCTTTCGAAGTTCGCACTCCTTCAAGGATTCAGGTGCTTTTATTTGCTTTTTGTCTTTCTTTTTAAAGTATATGTTCTGTGTTTTGTTTTCATGTTTGGTAGCTATTTTATTGTTCATCGTATGGAAAAGAGCATATTTTTTTACCTTTTGTTCCTCCCATTTTCTTCTACGTTGTCCTCTAATTTTTAGTAAAATTTTATTATTTATGACCTCTAAACGAAGAAGATAACAAATTCATTGAACCATGAATTAAGAGCCATGTTTATAATGTTAGAACTTCTCAATTCAGAGAATTCTTCTAGAACAGAACCAAGAAATGGAACAACCTATTTCCAAAAAAGTTAGAGGAAAAAAACAAAAAAGGAAATAGTTTTGGGACAAACAATATTTGATTAAAACTCTTAAGTGAATGAAAGTGTTGCTAAAGTGATTTGGTCAAATGTTACTAAGGCGATTGTGTGGCTGACTTGGAAAGAAAGGAACGCTAGACTCAGATAAGTCGAACACTTCTGATTATTTTTGTGACCTTATATGATTTACAGCCTGTAATTGGAGCTCGTAACACAACTTATTTTGTTACTATTCCACCTGGTTTTTTTTGTAATCACCCTCTTTGGGAGAAAGGGACACCTTGTCCCCTGATCCCTTGAGTTGTTCTTCGCCCTGGCGATTTTTTTGGATGAAAGTGTTGCTATGTTTCTTATTTAAAATTAAGAAAACAAAAATATATGATTCAAACTCATTCTGCAAAATACTTTTCGCCAAGCTTAGACGTTTTGGAACTATACGGAATAAGCATACACATACCAAGTCATGTGGAACTTAGAACTTGGAACACAGATCTTTGGTTTCTTCTCATAAATTCTGTGCTTGATTATGATAATGGATGAGTCATAGTTTCTGTACAGAATGAGTTTTTATTGAACATGTGGTTGAAGTTTGTTCCAAAAATCTGAATGCTACTTTGCCAGCAGTGGGAGGAGGATTCTAATTTTCACTACCCTTCATCTAATTATGTTCAGGTTCAATTCAAAGAAGGTATTCTGCAACCTCCTGAGATAAAGTCAAGGCTTGATCTACCCGAAAATATAGACATATTTGGACAGAGAGTTAATTTATCACCCGTGCAACAAACTCTTGATCCCATACAGCAAGCAATAGCAAGTCTATTCCAGGTCATTTCGGGACAGCCTCCCCTCAAGATACCCATTCCAGGCGATCGTAACAGGTCCTGGCTACTTACTACATACCTTGATCAAGATCTTCGAATCTCGAGAGGCGATGGCGGTCTGTTTGTTCTTGTTAAGGAAGGGAGCACGCTACTAAATCAGTGAATATCAGGTACTTTTCTGTACTAGTAGGAAAACGAGTCGAGTCTGGCATGTAATGCATTAATACTTATATGCTAACATGCGAAGGGGGATAGAAAAGAGAAGGATAAATTAGTGCTGGGGTGTTCATTTTAAAATTCTGTCTCTTTTTCCCTCCCAATAAATATATGAGCATGGTCTGGACTTCTTTTGTCAGTATGAAATCTGAATCTTTAGAAATGCTGAAATTTGTTCCTGCAGTATTAATCAGTTGTAGGCTAAGGTGATACAATGATTGCCAATATTTGATAGAAAACCGACTGCATATTCCGATTAGCGATTATTATTGAGGTCTCAAGTTCGAAGCTTCTGGTGAGCTTAATATAAAAAATCCTTGATGTCTCCGGATCCGAGCCTTGGGTTGGGCGTGGGTGCCCCTAGGTATAGGGGAGCAAAGCTCCAACTCCCGGTTCTAAAAAAAAAAGAACAATTCTTCGATTTCTTCCTCTAATTTTTGATCTATGCGTTTGATTCTTCAAACAATTTGGTCTTTGAAGAGGAAGGATCTACATCTGTTTCTTATTTTTCTAAACAAAAAAAATTACGAACTCTGTTTGACGTTTGAAGTTCTATCCATCCCAAAATACCGAACAGTTTCCTGCCTACCGCTCCTCACTCCAACAAAATTATAAAACAGTAGATCTACGGAGTCAATCACCATATGTAGCTGCCTCTTAATAACCGTTGAATACATGTTTGACTACGTATCCGAAATACATTGTGTAATTTCTATCATACTTCCAACAGTGTTAAACTCTACTAGCCACAATGTGACGACTTTTTCCAAGAATTTCTCCAGACTACTTCACCCAACACAGCAGGCTCATGTCTTCCTCCTAGCAAAAGTGTTGCAAATTCTTGCTACAAATTCGAGTTTATGCTTTATTTGCATATGTCCAAACTAGCTCGGAAAAGTATGGTTTCTATTTTAGGAGGCGAGAATTTTCCTTTTTCCTTCACAAAATATGTTTGAATAGTCTCCGAGTGTTGTTGGATAACTCAATCTTCAAATAAGTTCGAATCTTCACCCTTCTATTTGAGCTAGAATACTCAGGTCATATTTGAAGATTAGGGGGCGAGAATTTTCCTTTTCTTTTATAAAATATATGTTTGAATAGTTTCGGAGTGTTGTTGGATAACTCAATCTTCAAATAGAAGGGTGAAGATTCGGTTTATATATTTAATTCGTTGTGTTATGGACATGTTTACTAGAACCAAATTATTGTGTTATTCTTCTTTAATCCATTTTCTGAGTTGAGATATTTGAAAATTAAGCATTTAGCTCATTTTTTAAATTTCTGTCGAGTTGACGTCACTTCTCATAATGTGTGCAAACAAGTAATAGGTTATCTTAAAATACTATTTTTCGAAATAATAATTTTAAAATAAATGACTTGAACAACTCAAATCTAACCCCATTTAAATATTACATGATTGGAATTTAAAATGGATGGACTCTGTCACGTAATTAAATCTTTTTAAAATTCAAACTTATGAATTATTCTAAATTTGCAAAACCAATATAAGCAAAGCAATTCGATTCTTACTTTTTGACATATTTGTTCTTTATATAACTATAAAATTTTAAATCTATCCTTAATAATAATAGGTAGTGCTTTATTTATTTTATTGCATTTTTTTATTATATCTTTTAATTTTCTTGAGCTTTTTTTTAAATGACATAATTTATGAAATGTTCATTTTTAAAATTCATAGGTAATTTTTTTAATTAATTTTCTTACAAACTATTTCATGAATTGTTCTATGTTTCAGGACTCTTCATAGGTTTTTTTTCATACTTTATTATTTAGACTATTTTTTAGCATATTTTTTTAAATCCAAAATGAATTATGAGTTAGAATATATATATATATATATATAAATTGAATATAAATATTTTAGGTATAACAAGTGGGGTAGGGAATTCGAACTCATGATCTCTTTGTAAAATATGTTCACGCTTTTTTTTTCTGAAGGAATATACGCTTTTTTATAATCACAGTTAAGCACATTAATTTTTATTTTAAAATTTTTGAAATCTTAATCAAATTTTAAAATAAAGAAAGATAAGTTTAGAAGAGCCTATATTTTGATAACTGAAAATTTAGCTCATAAGTACTACTTTCTACTCCCAAATAAGCATTTTTTTTTAATTTTAGTATCTACTTGTTAAAAATATTTTCAAAATCTAATCCAAATTTTTTTTAAAATAAAATAAATGTTTTTAAAAACGTGTTTTTATTTATTGAAATTTTGTATAATTATGAAGATATACTTAAATTATCCAATATCCAAATGTATTTTTACAAATTACAACATCTCTTTCTTTCTTACTTTTTTTTCCATTCATCTTTCCTATTTATTAAAAAATTTAATGATGGCCAACAAAACATAAATCTTTGACCAACAAATACATTTTCTTTTAAAAAAATAAAAAATGAAAAAATGACGAGTCTAAGTCAAGATCAAAAAATGACGTGTCTAAGTCAAGATCACTCTCAAATGAATAGAGTTAATAAACATATGTTATAAAATACATCACATTAGATTCTTTGTTTCTTTATTTTTTTTAAAGGAAAATTAATAGTTTCTAAAAATAAAAATCTGGTCCAATCATATGAGAGTGAGATGAAGTGGCACGACGTGATTGGACAGCTCAACCGAGTGCAAGGAATTAAGGTAGAACCAGCCGCAGAGGATCCAACAGAAAAATATTTCAAAAAGTAGTTGGCGATCGGACTTAAAAGACGTGCTGACTTTGTCACGAAATTCCCGCCTTTTCTATCGGATTTTCCCTTTGGAATAAATTTTCCGGGAAATTTTTTGGAAGAAAGAAAAAAAAAATAATTAAAAATTAAAAATAGTTTCAAAAATATTGACTTTCGAATTTCGATCACTTTGTTTCTAATCAGAAAATCTTTCGTCTTAAAACTCTTCTTCTTCTTCTTCTTCGTCGTCGTCGTCTTCTTCGTTTTTCACTTCTGAAAATTCTTTTTGGGATCCGATTTTTCGGTGAATTAGAATATTCACGGGTGATTCGGTCGATCCACCGAACGAGAAGGAAGAACGACGACATTGGTGGGCGTTTCGGATCACTCGATCTCCGTCTCAAAAGCCATTGCGGAAAAGGGGAAACACAGAAATTTCACACTGGATTTCGATCGATTGGTTTTCGTTTCTGCAAATCCTGATTGGAATTTCGAGGTGCTGTTGTTGTTCTGTTCTTCGATTGTACTAGCGGAGCGGCAAAATCCTAAAAACCCGAGGATTCGATTTCTGATTCTACTGAAGAAGAACTGGTGATAAATGGGTAATTGAATGCCGATTTTCCTTTCTTAGGGTTTCGTAGAGATTTAGAATTGCGAAACGGAGACAGATTTTTTTTTTTTTTTGGGGATTTCTATAGTTTTTACAGTAATTTTGGAGAAATTAGGGCTTTGTTTAACATGAGCGATAAGCAACCGATTAAGTTAGATGACGAACAAATGGCCGAGTTGCGAGAAATCTTCCGGTCGTTCGATCGGAACAATGACGGGAGTTTGACTCAACTGGAACTCGGATCGCTTCTACGGTCACTTGGTTTGAAGCCGAGTCCGGATCAGCTCGAGAATTTGATAATGAAGGCGGATACGAACAGCAATGGATTAGTGGAATTTTCAGAGTTCGTAGCTCTGGTGGAGCCAGAGCTGGTATCGGCGAAGTGCCCTTACACAGAGGAGCAATTAAGGCAGTTATTTAGGATGTTCGATAGAGATGGGAACGGGTTTATCACTGCAGCGGAGTTGGCCCACTCCATGGCCAAGCTCGGCCACGCTCTCACGGCGGAGGAGCTCACCGGGATGATCAGAGAAGCCGATACAGACGGCGATGGCAGAATCAATTTTCAAGAGTTCTCCCAGGCAATTACTTCTGCTGCATTTGATAATTCCTGGGCTTGATTCCTTTTCTGGTAAGTCTCCTCTCTCTCTCTCTCTCATTGGAAAATTTAGCTGCTTTTTTCTTTGATCTTAATCATATGCTGGGTTTGTGTAGATTCAGATTTGTGGGTTATGTATTAGTTAATGCCATGACTTATATAACTTATACAGTTATACTACACTAACCCATACTTTTACTTTTGAAACTTCATCTTTGGCTGCCTACAAGATCTTGTGAATTATAAACTGATTATAACCAAAATGTAGACTACTCAAATCTAATAATTTACCACCTGTTGCCAACATGAGCTAATAGCTCAGTGGTAATTGACACTTGTTTCTGACTAATAGGTTATGAGTTCAAATCTCTCACCCTCGTTTGTTGTACTAAGAAAAAAAAATAATAATCCACAAACATGTTATGTTATGTTATATAAAACTAAAACTTTTTAACAAGAAACCTTATCTTTCCAATTCTGTGAATAAAGAGTGCCCCTAATGCAAGCCTTGTATTATTGAGTTGGTACTGGGGAGTGAGTATTTTTCTTGACATCCCCGTAAGTGTTTTTGTCTGATTAATGACATTATTCATTCTTTTCATGATACTCTTTTGATACAACAAAAGGGTTGGGAGGTTGAGGAGGGAAATACAGGGTCCTTAAGCTCAATGAACTTGCTGTGATATTCGTTTCTTTGATGGAAGTTACCTTTAGGTGTCAAGATAACTTTTAGAGAAGGAACTAATGTAAAGCTTTCCTCCTTGAGTTTGAAAATTGTTTGACGAAGAATCAAACTTACATATAGAAAATTAGAGGAAGGATTGAAGATAATAGATATGAATGATGATCTGCTTCTGAAAAACTTTTCAGAAGAATAATGAGACCTATAATGAGACAATCTATTATAGATGTATGATCATTACAATTTAACCCATGTATTCTATTCCATCTCTTAAAAAGAAACGAACCTCCCTAAAGTGCATGCCTCTGAACATATCAATCTATTACTTGGCACTTTGCATAACGTATGTAAGAATTTGAATATACACATACACTCATGATAAAGGGTACAATTTTTGGAAAGTGGAGTTCTCCGTTCTCCCTCTCCTGTCACTAAAAAGTTCCACTATCTAGTTATAACCGTTGTTTTAAAAGGCTAAAGAGGCGAACCTTGATGCGATATGAGGCATAAACCTCAATTTTAATTAAATACAAATCCTAAATTTGTGTGATCAAGTATAGTTAAACATAATAATTATATAAAATTATTAAAAAAATCACACACTTAATAAAAATGGTAAAATGGCATCATTAACATCATTACAATTATCACTTATAGGACTGATTTATTATATAAACTTTTTGTCTTTAATGTCTTTAATGTCTTAAAGTCTAAGTTGTAAAAGTAGTAATAGATTGAATTGTTATAACTCCTGTATTATCATTCCATGCACAAAGAAATTTTTATATTTTTAAAGAATTGAACAAATTGATAACATTCTTCTAATCATTTGACCAGATGTCAAAACTCTAAGCCTTAGTGCCTCTTCATAGAGGTGTAAACCTCTAAGCCTCAAAAGTCTCTTAGTTATAACGTTTAAGTGGCTCCACTTAACTAACACAACATACAGCCTACATGTTCCCTCGTTTTGCCCTCTTTCTCTTCAATTTTTTTCATGATGCTTGACTACGTATGAAAAAAAAGGATTCTTTCAAAATTTGCTACTTCTAGAGGAAGTAATGTTTATTTTGATTAATGCATGGTAGAAGATGAATTGTCATGGTGATAAAAAATGTTTTGTGTAGTAGTTGTATAAACTTCCACAAACAATTTCAGCAGGAGAAATTGAGGCAATGTGTTTGCAGTTTTTTTTGTTTCTTTTGCAGTGACTGAAAACAAACAGCCGATTGCGGTATTTGGAGGGCAACTGAGGTACCAGCATGGTGATCTTTTCAAGAAGCTGAAAATGGTATTTTTGGGGTTAAGTTTGAAGAAATGAGTTTTAAGTTGTTAGGTTTCAAGCTTTGGTTGTTTATAAAATTGGGGTCCAAACTGAACGCCGCTGGGATTACTGAGAAGGATTTTAGTTCCAATTCCAGTTTTCAAATATGGTATGATGGTAGTTTCATGCATGCATGTGCTTGTTTTGGAGGTTTTGTTTTATTTCCATTTAGTCATTTTCAACCAAAATTTTTGTTAGAAACATTTTGAAATCTCTACAACTTGACAATGGAGCTGTTTTCAAGATGTATGAGTTGATGAGCTTCTTGGTTTTCTGGAAGCAAAAGACGTGTATAAAAGACGTTTTTTTGAGCAAAATGATGGACATAATTCAATATAACTATATGTTGTAAAGAGTAAAACAAATGTGAATTGAAATAAATGATAGATAACTTCATTGTAGAGACCATAAACGAGAGATTTCAATAATTGTATTTTCTAGGAAAATGTTGAAGATTTGTGGCTTCTTGTTTTTCTAGAAGCAAAAGATGTGTATTATAGACGTTCTTCTATTCATTTAAGAGACGAAGAATGAGAGCCAAAGCGAGCATAATTCAATAGTAATTGGTATATATCTCCAATCAAGAGGTCGTGAGTTCGATCCCCCACCTCGCATGTTATGTTGAAAAATATTCATAATGAGAGATTTCAATTGTATTTTCTTAGAAAATGCTGAACAAATTTATGGTTACATTTCAAATAATTTAGTGGGTGAAGTATCATGTAATGGAAAGAAATAAGATAAAAGTTAATGAATGAACCAAAATAGAAATAAAAAAAAAATAGACGTTTAAAAAATATGAATAAAAATTAAGAGTACAATAACCAAAATATAAAGTACATGAATCAAAATAATATTTAATCTAATTTTGATTGATGATCCATGAATTATGTTAGATGTTTCTAATATATCTTCAGAGTACCTAGGAGGACTATTATCTCAGCTAAGCCAAAAAAGAAATACAATACAAAGAGATATTTGTCATTTTAACATAAAAATAGAAAACTTGAATTAATTAGAGTTATTGTAGCTTGTTACTCAAAATAATTTTTTAAATATATTTTCTAAATTTTTACATCTATTCACAAATCTATACTTCCAAAATAATAACAATTTCAATGGTAGAACGGAAATTTTTATCAGAGAGGAGCCAGATTTTACCTTCCAACTATGGGATTAAATATCCATCAATACGTTCGGTATTTCCGTCAACATGTCCATGTACTATGGATTCGACATCGACATGAGGGTAAATCGACATTTCTATCATAGTACAAAAAGATTGACAAGATAGGAAAAATATTAACAAAATATCACTAATATATACATAATATTAATAATAATCATTTTTACGGCAAATGTTTATTTGTTAATTTAAATATTTTTTATGATTTTTGAATTTCTCTAACTTTTACAGAAATATCCATCAATATCGATATTTTATAAATCATATTTCTCAATATTTAAAACCTTGCTTCCAACTTTCTGCATAATATAGCCTTTCAATTTTAAAATTTTAGTGAAAGAAAAACTACAAAATTTTAAGTATTCTATACATACTTTTTAAATTACAACGAACTAAGGAGGAACAACCCCCTGCTTTACTCCGCCCTTGTTTCTATAATTCTCAACGTAGCAGCCTATTTATGAGAAGAAACTAAAAAAAAGAAAAAAACAGGAACAAGAAGAACAGTTACAACAAAAAATGGACACTGTTTTCTTAAAAATTCTTTAAACAACCATTACATTACATTCACTTCAACTGACTTTGGCAAGAGGGAAAACAGTGACTAACTTGACACCAAAAGGAGAGAGAAGAAGAAAAAATACCAAGAACTACCAAATAACTATCCTCATGCTTTCTTCTTTTTAGATTTGAGCATCACCATTCCTACAAATAAACCTAAGAAGCAGAGGAGTAGCACACCAGCAAACACAGGTATCAGAATAGCATACTCTTGTGGTAAGAAATAGTTGTGGATGAAGTGATCGCTATCTACAAATGGCTGCCATTAAACAAAACAAGTTACATTGGTTTATAACAGTCCTTATCAAGTTCACTAAATCAGATTATGTACATGAAAGATAATCTTACCAGGATGATGACCCATAAAGTATAATAAGTGAATATAGACAAGCTGGTGAGTGATAACAAAAATCCGACTGTCTTGTCTGCTAACTCCATTTCGATGCTATCGTTGTTTCCTTGAATCACATAAGTTGCCAATCAGTATCAAATACTTTTAGTTATAAGAACTTTAACACAAATCATCTTGATGTTTGGTTCTACCCACTAAAATGTACTTGTAAGTTGTACATCTCAATCAAATATTGTGCCCAAAGCACTCTACAAGTGTTTTCTCCTAAAAATTTTTTTTTAATTTTTTTCGAAAGCACATTATATTACTTCCAAAATAACAATTTATTTTGCATTGTCCAAATCTAGCCTAAATGCTCTGTATAGAGGTGACCATGTACCAACATAAGGCACAACGTGTATCATCACATATTGGCACATTGTGCTTCGGCATGTTATATAAGAATTAAGTCAACTACTAACAGAGTTAATGACAAGAGGAAGCCTTACCCTAACTAGATTCTTCTGCTATTGCCATCAAAAAGTTCTTCTCAGATCTTTTCTTAAGATGATTATTCTTTGACAAGTCATTCATGTGCAATAACTAGATCCAAATCCCATCTTTCAATCATTTAAACTAGAATGTAGAATAAATAATCATGATTTAATTTGATCTGCTGCATGGATACAAATAAAGTAAGAAAATATTTTGACATTGGTATCACCTTTGAAAGACTATGATATATCATCGACTTAATCCACAATAATACAATTATAGATACTATGTGCATCCTTGTGCTATTAGACTGTATAAATAAATAATCAACCAGAACTAACTCCGTCCACCTTGCATGACTTTCTTTCCATCATTTATTTTGCACTTGGGAGAATGGGAATGCACATGTAGATGATATTCAGACATCATTAAACAGCAAGAAATTTCTAGCTGATCTTTGGTCCAGGTTTCATAGTAACCTTGCGTCAATGAAAGTGGATTTTCTTATCAAAAAATTTGTATTCGTATGAACAAAAAGGAAATTCAGGTGAAAATTGAGAACCACGTGTTTGAATTGGATTGTCATTGATTCTTATACTTTCTATAAGTTGATTGTGGGAAACGCACCAGAAGGATGACATGCAATTCATAATTTTTAGAATACAAATCAAGGTTCAAGGGATCAAAAACCCAGAGCCAGAGGTTCATAACCTTTCACAAGATCCAGGTACGAAAATTTTTTAAACTTAAAAAAAGTTGAAAAACAGAACATCCAATAAAGTCTCACAATTGCACTTGCACTAAGGACCTGAGATGGATTGTAGAAGACTTGAGATCAGCCACTGTGACCATATATACTTAAAAAATTTGTTAGGCATGGAGATGGGTTTTGATTTTTTAAATGGAAGAGGAAGGCATAGAATAATTTCCGGAATTGAAAGAGAGAATTTTTAGAGGAGTTGAGAGGTCCAAGGAAGAGGTGTCTGATGTTGTTAGGTTTAACATCTCTTTGTGGGCGTCTATCCCTAAGCTGTTTTGTAATTATCGATTAGGTCTTATTCTTTTGAATTGGAATCCTTCTCTATATAGACGTAGGACTCCTTTTGTGGGGCTGTTTTTTTTTTATGCTCTTGTATTTTCTTTCATGTTTCTTAAGGTTTATTTTTCATTTAAAAAGAAAAAAATCTGTAATTGAAAGAGAAAGACAAGTAACTACTGGGATGCAAAATAGAAAATTTAAAATAAGAAGAAAATTCCAAAATTTTCAAAGGTAGAAAAGAGGGGTTAGATAGAATCATAGAATTCTTTTTGTTCTGCAAAGTTTGTATACGTGGAAATTTTAGAACGTAAGCAGTAAAAAGGGACTGCTTTAAAATATGATATTTGAAGTGTGGAATAAAAGAATAGATTAAAGGTTAGTCATGATTATAGGTACCGATCACCACTTAACAACCTTGATCACAATTAATAAATAACGAAGGAAAGGTATTCAATGTTCAATACTATCTGCGTCTCAGAGACAACTACCAAATTATAGAACCAAAAATGCACATTCCATATGATATCACCAAGCAATCTAATCAGAAAGAAACTAGAACAATCTTCTTCACATTACCTACGCGTTTTAGGTTTTTGTTTTCTTCTCTTCTCATTTCTGGAAACTTTGTCCACCAATTGTTTTTAGACTCATAATTTTAGTTTTCATTTACTCATGTATAATCCTGCTCAATCATCAATACCTTTTGTATAACCACCTAAGGACTCAAATTATGATACACTTTTATTTAAGAGTTTTTTTATGTAATATTATTGCTTTTCAATTTTATCCTTTCTTGAACATACTAAGTAGGAGTATTTTTGTCTTTTTGCTATGGTTGATGATGTTGCATCTGGAGTTTAGTTGAGAGGCTAACTAAAGCCTTGCCATTATGTTGTTTTTCAAGGATTAGATCAGTTTTAATGAAGTTTGATGCCTTTTGAGCCATTTTCTTTCAAGCTAGCCAAGAACGCTTTTTGCAATTTTTGATCTAGATTGAAGCTAATAACATTCAAGTCGAGTTTGATCAACCCCTCGTAAAGTGTTTGATCTTGAGTAGTAAACTAGTGCTCCTTACCTCTTCATCTTCGATGAACAAGGTGCTAAATTGATTTTTTAGGATTTTGCTGTTTTTGAATTAGGGTATAGGATTTTGTTGTTTTTGAATTAGGGGTTAGGGTAGCTAATTCCAATTCACTAAGGTTTTACGTTCTCATAGCACATCTTTATATAAGAAAGGTGAAAAAATTGAAGCTAATGGTGCTGAAGATATAGCTAATCACAGTACAACCTTAAAAATTGAAAGCAATTTCTTTAAATACAGAAGCAATAATTGCAGAGCTCATATTTTCAAAATTAACGAATTCGCCCAACAAAAATCATCAAAAAGATCAAAGATCGACGAAATTTGCAGCTAGAGTTATAGTTAATCTACGTGTTACCTGTAGCGTGTTATAGAGATCGTACCTGCTTCTTCGCCGCCGGAATTCTGGGTGATTGATCAAACGATGCAGAAAATCGGAGCCGAAAAAGTGTGAAGGAAAAAGGAGGCCAGAAATCTGGAAGACGGAACCCACTAGACCCGAACTTGAATACCGAACCGGGTCGAAACTTGCATGTTTTTTTTTTTAATTAAAAATTATTTGGTCCTTGTATTTTATTGAAGTAACGATTTAACTGTTAATTTTAAATTGGTAATAATTTAACTCCTGTGGTTTAAAGTTTGTAATAACACAGTCTTTATTGTGAAAATTTTTGTTAAATTTCTTGTATATATAGATCGATAAATCGATGAGAAACCAAATGTGTTTATAAATTACAAAGACTAATTTCTCAAAAAAAAAAAATTACAAAGACTAAATTGTTATATGATAAAAATTGACACATAATTTTGATGAGGTTTTTTATGATAGAAACTAAATTGTTACAAATTTTAAACTATATGGATTAAATTGTTAAATACTAAAATTTAGGGACTAAATTGTTATCAATTTGTAAGTACAATGAATAAATTAAAGTTTGGAGACTAAATCGTTACTTTATTAAAATTACAGAAATCAAATGTATTTTCTTAACTTTTTTTTTTAATAATAATACTCCATGTTTATAATTGAGAAAAAAAAAAACTCCATGTTTGCCTATCGACACACGTCTGGTGTTCATTAAATTTTTGACCAAAAAAAAGAAAAAAAGAAATATAGAAGATTTTATTTATTCTATTTGATCTCTACGTCTCAAATGTTGGCACGTGATAAAACGATTAATGAAATATGAATGTACAATTAGTGTGATAGGAAAAATATTAGAATAAATTGTCTAACATGCCACGATCTTCTACTCCAACCGAAATATATAGTAAGTCCTACAATATTTGCCAAACTTACCGTGAGATTGTTCATCCTCTGAATCTTCTTGGCTTATTATAACACAATTCAAATTGAGGTATTGAACCTCCATCCTCATGTTGCTCGTATTTGCATTTCATCTCTATCTCTATTTTATAGCGTTTGCATTGAGTTTCAGACTTCTTTGGGATGGATCTTGCATCCCAACTTGGAACGTGCTTAAAATTCACCGTCCAACATTGATTTCGAGTTAAAGTACTATGATAAGGTTTCAATTAAAGGAGTTAAAAATAAAAACTAACTATAAAAACATTTTAAAATACACACCATCCGGAAAAAACTCCAACATGTTATGATATTTTCATTAAAATGTAGAAAGAAAGAAGGTAAAGAAAATTTAAACCCTAAATACTTGTTCACTTTTCTTTGAAATGATGATAAAAGATATAACTTGAAGAGCCCATAATAGGGGGAGAAACCTGCCTATAAATCTTGCTGATTAGGCTGAAGGCAGTACACAGAGACCAAAGAAAACAGAGTTATCAGACAAATCTTCAAAGCGCCAAGAATCACAACAGCAAATCCAAGCGCATTCAATTTTGTGTAGCTTCTTCAGCTTTTAGGTCATGGTGTCCTACAATCTTGCAGAATGTACATGAGAAGCCTTGCCTTCTAGCCTCCACAAAAAGAAATAGAACAATAAATTTGTTTAGCTCCTAGTTTTGCAGCATCCATTGCCTTATATCCTCTCTAATCACCCCATCATGCCAGCCTCTTACGTATTTCGGTCTCGGCGCTTCGAGCATCGAGATGCCGAAATGTCTGTGCTGGAACATAGTCCCGGCTGGCTTTGGAGACTTCATCATCATGGAAATTGTGGGAAATGACTTGGCCCACATGTTTGTTGATGAGGTAAATAACTGTCTAGAGGATTTTGGATTCTTCAGGATCTGGGAGCTCTCTGGATTTTTCAAGACGGAGGAGCTGGGAATTTGCTTTGTCATGTTTGTGTTCGATCCACTGCTATTTGAACTCTTTACAGCAACCGGTTTACGAATTTGGGCTGATGGTTTAAATCTATCGAGCCATCGGAGAATCCAGTTACCAAGATTCCGACCAACTTCTAAATCTCTCTGCTGTACGTTCTGGTGAACCTTTAATGCTACATCAAATACAGTGCGGACACGTCTGAAATGTAAGAAGCAGCAGACAGTTATTGAATAAAACTATTCCACATACTAATATTAGTAGTAGTTAGAAATTTAGCATGTTCAATGGATATCGAATGTATTGATAAGAAATCCTATTTCGTTATATCCATGAGTATCCAAGTTAGTTTGCATGCACCGACTATTCTCACAAGACAACCGTCTGAACTTACTACATTTATGTTGCTAAGGTAACTTGTAGGACATTAAATCCGAGAAAGCTAGCCAACATAGCTTGAAATCATTTCCACCAGGACTTTACTATTTACATCGCCCTTGTTAACCACTAGGTCAATCAATGATGGATACTAGATTTAAAAGAAACAAATAACACAAGAAAACAATTGAAAGCTAATTTTCTTTCTCGTAAACATGATGCGGTCACATACAAGTAACTTGCTATGCACTTCTCTCATTGTGACCCAACATGGCCATGAACTTTGTTTTTATGATGCTAGTAATTTCCGTCCAATGCATCTCATACAATAATAAACTAATCAAAACCATGATCCATGTAATTGTATTTTGACTTAAAAGTTTGTTAATAACCAGGATTTTCAGGCTCCTCTCCTTGCATTATGCTCATAGCCAATCCTCACTAGTTCATAGGAAACTTTGTCCACACCAAAGCCAGTTTTCGGTCATTAAGTTTTCAACCGAGGAGCTTGAACTCAAGACCTTGGAGGGTATCTCCAAGCCCTTAGCATCAAGCATGAGAATGAAAATAAGAGACACGAAGAATCCCTCTTTCCTGTTTAAGTGAAAATGATCCAAGAGATTAATTCATCAACCTATCCTCTGAATTACATATCACTACAACCCATTAGGAAGCTGAAAAAAGCAAATCAAATTCATCCACTGCCAGAACTGAGTCAAGTACAGCATATGACAAAGAGAAAACAAGGTAGGGTGTGCAGATTCGGTAGAAGTTGGCCGTGGAATCATTCTTTCTTCAACCTTCCAACAAATTTTTTGATGCAAGAAAATTATCGGTTCCTAAAACAAACAATCCTCCATTTCACCACACGAAATCAATTTCGACCTAACAAATTAAATCATACGAAGAAAAATCGAAACCGAAACTGGGTTTCTCTCGTTTAGAGCTCGTGATTGGAAACGAAAGCCGAATCAACAAAGTAGCGCAAATAACAGCACATTTCCAGCACAAATTCCATCACGATCAAAGCAACAGATTAAGAAAAAAGATAGAAAATGAAATTACCCGTGAAGAAAGCGACGGATCTTGGGATGCTTGGGGCTGACGAGGCGACGTTGAAGCTTAAGAGCCAGGCGATAGGTCCGCTTCAGCCCCAAGAAATAGGCGGTTCCTAGAGTTATCTCCCAGAGCACCATTTTCTCTCTCTCTCTCTCTCTCTCTCTCTCTCTCTCTCGAAATTTCAGTTCTCTGCTTTCTGCAATTCGTTTTTCTGGGATTTGTAGAATCGATTCTTCGCTCATTTCGTCTGCCCCAAGTTTTCGCATTTTTACCGCTAAAATCACTGATGGATGCTGGAGACTCCGTTGTGGCCGTTGATTGTTGATTCTGGTCCATCTCAACCGTTGGTATTTTTGCCACTAAACTTGTACTATGGGACCTTATTTCGATTTCAGACCATTTTAATAATTAATTTTCATTGTAATTCATTTTCAGTGGGTAAACATAACCTAAAACATAACTCAATCACTTAAAAGATATATATTCCGGTAAGAATATGACCATATTGTATTAAAAAAAATTAATCTGCTTGATATTATTAATTTTTTATTAAATTTTGGTCAATATTCTTTTTGATCCTTAAGATTCAACAAGTGATAATTTAGCTCCTAAAATTTAAAAAATGGTTATAAATTGTTGTTAGCTTATTTAACCTGACGTGAGACGTGATATGATTGTTATAGTTTTCTGTCTATATGAGGTATATTTTTTATAAATACCCATACTCCATTTTCAAAACCTAAATGTGGTATGACTGTTTTCAAATAAAAATATGTTAAAAAAGAATAATGACAATTTTTTTTAGAACCATTTTCAAAACCAAGAATAAACTGTCACATTTTGAAATTTAATAACTGAACAAAATCTTGATCGAAATTTGATAATTTACCCTTTGATAATTTTTAAAATTTAGTTCCTATTATTTAAAAACTTTGAATTTAGTTTCTTCTCTTGTGTACTAACATTTTTTAATTTAGTTTTTTTAATCATTTAATTTAGTTTTGCATTATTGATAAATGTTAAAATTGATTAATGATAAACTTACATGACATAATATTTGCTCAATAACAGAAATTTAGAGGAGAGAAAATGTTATCTTAGAGAAAAAATTTTTAATATTTCTATGGAAGTTGAAAGATGAATTAGAAATTTCCTCTCTAAGATAAGAGTTTTTTCTCCTCTAAATTTCCACTTATTCACTATAACGCCTCATAAATTTATCATTAACCAATTCTAACCTTCATTAACAGTAAAAGATTAAATTGAAAAATGTTAATACACAATAGACTAAATTCTTAGTAGGTATTAAAATATCTATTTAGCACATCTTTTTAACAATAATTTTTTTGGGATAAATTATACTATTATTTATTTATATATATTAAATTCTATTTCATATCTAAATTAAATGATAGGCGTTTAAGTGTCGATGTCGACTCATAAAATACATTTAAAGTAACAATTAAATTATAAGAATATACAATAGAAACGTCGATTCATCCAAGTGTCGATGTCGAACTCACAAACATATAAAAATGTCGACGAAAATTTAAAACCAAAACTCAAAACGGAATTTCTAGAGATCAAGGCAAGAGCCAATTCAAATGAGAGGTCATGTTTCGAAGTTAGGCTTGAGAAATAATTAAATGAAAGATGATGTGTCGAGGTTGGGCTTGAGAAATAATTCAAAAGAACGTATATCAAAATATGGGGTGTGCTTTAAGTAATGTTAACTTAAAAAGTATTGAAGGGAATTATGAATGTATTTTTAGAAATCATGTAAAAAAACAATACAATAAACCTACCGGTTCAACCGACCCGGACACATTTTTTTTCTTCCGAAATCATATATACGTTCATTTGGTTCTATGTTCAAGATCGTACATTTTTTGCTCTCGGGTTTTCAAAAATAGGTTTAATAGCCTCTCCACCAACATATCTTCAAATGGACAAAAATGACAATCTTAGAACAAACGTCGTGATGTTTTTCCATCCGATCACGTTACACCAGGATCGTATAATACCATGATAGGGTTTTAAATTGCGGTGTTCATTTTCCAATCAAATTACTTGATGACCATAATCGCATCATGAACACTGTGATCTTGATTTCATGTATAACCCTAATAACTCCATCGATGCACAAACTCTAAAACAACCTATTTCCATAGTTTTGTTCAGGAATGTTCCAAAGAAAAGTTAAAACTAAAGCAAAGATCGACCCTCAAAGCCCAATCATCTCGTTAGAGACTTGGTATGAATCTCGATTACTAGAGGGATGATTTAACCTATTTTTCTAAAATTCCGTAGGCAAAAATACACGATTTTGAAACATAGACACCAAGCTGAAAACTCAGAGACCAACCAGGCAAGAAAATTTCGACACATAATAAAAAGAAAATCTCTCAACTCCAAAAACTAGCCAGAATTGCACTGATACATAGCATAGTAGAAAGAGCAGAATTTGTTCTCAATATGGAAAAATCTGCTGTTCTCGTTTATATTCTGACCAATGAAGATATCTTATGCAATCAAGTCCCACTGCTAATTGAGGAAGAAATTCTATTCTATATTTTCACCCTAAAATATTGCCTTGCCATGCCAGAAATAAAAGGGGAAGTACACATTACAACTACAAGAACTTTCAGACATAGATATCAACATACATGGCAGCAATTCAGAGGATCAGACCTTGAGCAGGTTCTGGCTTGGGACGTTGTTGAGGCTCAGGAGGCGCGGTTGCTGCTTTAGGGGATTCCGAGAGATGGACCTGAGCAAAATCTTCGACTGTCTTCTTTTTCTGTTCTTCCTCGGACGCCACGAATTTCTCTTTTGTTTTCTGACCAACTTCTCCGGCTGCCTTAGCTACCTTATTGAAAGCATCGGCAACCCAGCTAGTCCCACTCATTACAAATCGGTTATTCATGATGGCAGAACCAGCATTGCTAACTTTTACCTCTGCAACTGCAAATGCTGATTTAGTCTTCTCAGAAACCTGAAACTTCTGGTCTACTTCCCGAACTTTGTCGCTCACCAACAAAGTACCAGCACTAATTTTCTCAGTGAACCCAATTTTTTTATCGAATGTAGCAACTTTGGCTGAAGCCGTGGAAGATAACTGATGTTTCTCATCAAATGCCTTTGCTGAGTTCAGTGCGTCTTTACCCAAGATAAAGCCCTTGGCAAGCATGCCACTAACCACATCCTCTGCTTTCTGGAAGGCGGATTCAGCAGCACCAGGTGCTGTAGTTCCTGTGGCCTACAACAATCAAGACAATAAGCTGGTCAACTAAGAGAAGACATATCAAGTGACTATATACACACACACAGCAGCCAACAAAAGAAAGAGAAACAAAAAAAAAGGAGGTTACAAAATGTTTTTTGGTCTCTATACTTTCATCGAAATGACGATTTAGTCATTTTGTAAGGATTTAGTCTCTCTACTTTCAAATGGTTAACAATTTAGTCCTTTAACTTTAATATATGACAATTTAGTTCCTGTGGTATAAAGTTTATAACAATTAAGTCCCTATTGTGAAAAAACTTATCAAAATTAAGTGGCAATTCTTATTATATAACAATTTAATATTTGTACTTTATTTTAAAAAATTGGTCCCTCGTCAGTTTTTGACCTACACCTATAATAAACTCTATCAAATCTTAACAATGTTTATCACGATAGGGATAAAACGTTAAAAACTTTAAATTACAAGGACTAAATTGTTACATATTAAAATTCAAACTAAATTGTTACCAATTTGAAAGTACAAGAACTAAATTGTTACATCGTTACAAGCTAAGGTACAAAGACTAAATAACGGATGTTTATGGACTAAATCATTGCTGAAAGTACAAGGCCCAAAAGTGTCTATTAACCAAAAAACAATCCCCCAGGAATCTTACAGCGGGTGGTGCAGTAGCTTCCGGAGGGAGCTCATAATCAGGACACAGAGTGATGTTGACAGAAAGATCCACTATAGTTGCTCCCTGCCAAGAAGTTGAGCTCCATTAATCTAATCGGATGATACCTATTGCTGGTTCTCGTTAGCGAATGTGTTATAAACTTATAACAAGTTTTGAATATAGGAAATAAACATCATGAATCAGATACATCTTTCTTAAAGAAAAAGAAAAAGGGCAATTTGGTTGAACAAACCTCCAGCCAAGGTCTACATTCTACTCTCAAATAACAAGAGCAATACATTCTACTCTCAAATAACAAGAGCAATCAAGCCAGAAGAGTACTTTACTAAATATTTGAGCACCTACCGTTAGCACCAAAGGTCATGTCCCTTAAACCATTTAAATTGTCAAGTGGAAAAATCTCCTACAGATCATATATCATGTGATTATAAAACAGCAACGTGATCCACCTAATATAGGCATTGGACTGGCATATGGATTTTGAGAATTCATTTACCGGAGGAGACAGGTGGATTTATGAAGGCAGATATGGCGTAACTGTAAGGTATAAGTGAATAGAAGAAACAAATAGATTCTCTCTTTTTTTTTGTTTTTTG